CACTGCTTGAGATACCCATTTTACACAAACTATAAGCATACCTCTCAAACCAATAACCTCAGACCTAAACCAGCACACAGGTCTTCAAAAGGAGGAGAGAAATCCTCCTCATTAGAGACATGCTGCACATTGACTGGTTACATAAAAAAGCTTGGAGGCAAATGAAAAAAAAAAAAAAAAAAGCAATAGCTTCTTAATTACTGTATCAAGTTTGTAAGCAAAATGGCAGGCAGGGGATTGCCCTTCGCTGCAGTCCTCCTGCCATAGGGGCACACAGAGCTCGGGGGAGCATGGTCCTCATGAGACACAAGACACAAAGCTTGCATCAGCAGAGAAACCCTTCACAGCAGCACCTCTCCCAAGGCTCAGGCACTGCTACCACGCAACTCTGCGGCACTGCTGACTTTCCTAAAACAACCTCTCATTACAACTTCTGTGAACATCACAAGACCTGCCCAGGTAAGAGCCAGGACTGGCAGTCTGAGATGCAAAAGATTTTAACTTCTCTAACATTTTCTGAAATTTTCCAACTCAAGATGCAGGATATGCATCACCTGATTGTAGTGATAATTAACAGGAGATTGCGGTAAAAGTGCCATGAAAATGAGGGACAGATGTCTGAAAAGAACTGAAAAAAGAAGCTCAGAGAAGTTATTAAGCTAGGCTAAAAATGAGAGGGAACATTTTCTTAAATGGCCTCATTTGCCTTATGGTACAAATACTTTCAGGATTCACGCTGCCACGTACTTCTCCCAGCCAGGAGAGTTTACTTTTGAAAAAGAGGAAAGGTGGAGATTAACAGATGACAACTGATTTTGGCAGGTGGGGCTCTGAGAAGACATATTAACTATTAGAAGGGTTTGCAGCTCTAAATCAGTGAGCAAAAAGATCCTGTACTAAAAAAACATTATTTAATTGACCTACAGTGATGACAGGCTTTAATATTTTCTCACAGGTAATAACTAGTTGCAGAAAAGAAGAGGCCTTAGGCCTTTAACTAAATTGGTCACCTTAAAGCTATGAAATGCCCCACCCAGCACTAGTTATTACTATTATAACAGTAACAACGAAATCAAACATAACAGCTGTTATTCTCTGACTGCTGCCTTGCCAAGGCTGGTATTTTGTTTGATATGAAATAAAGAAAGAGGCTTAATCAACTTAACATTGCACTTCATTTTGAAAATCTTTTGCTATTATCTGAGTAAAACTCAAGTTTCGACAAGTTGTGAAAACAACTCTGTGTTTCCAGTTTCCCAATTTCCAGCATTTATACCTTACACAGTGTTTCTGTGTCTGTGGCAAAGGCTAAACCAGGGATATGCCCATAGTTTTTATGTTATGTGATGCCCCCACTTGGACTGTCCCTGTGACTACCCCTGTAGGTGCCTTTTCTGTCTTCTACCATCCTTGCCTGTTGTTTATATGGGCTTTCAGGCAGCCAAAGCAAGAGGCTTTTACGTCCAGGATCTAGCAACATCAGCAGGTGGTCTCCAAATCAGGTGAGTCACCTCTTACTAGTTCTATTTTTGAAACAATAAAATAGGTTTGATTCTGTGCCACCATGCTTGGTGAGATAAGAAACTGGAGCATCACAATCGGCCATCTGTTCAATGCACAGCCGGAAAGCATTCACCTACACCCAAGTGAGGGCTCTGACGACTGCCTGCCAGGAGCTAGGGAAGCCCCAGATATGGGCTAATTGAAGGGGTCTGCAGCCAGCTATCTTCATATTCAACCCGGGTGTACTGCTGATGGAAATTACAAGCGGATTACAGGCTCTGGCACATCATGGTCTAGCCAGATCCAAACAAAAGCATGTGGTGATAAGGACAGCGTGCTGCACACTAGGACCTGAGATCTCTCTGGACCCCATTGCTTTATCAAAAAGTTGCTGATAAGCTACCAAGTACTACAAAACTCCACATCTTTCCTAGAAATTATCGTTTTTCTCAGTTGTGTTTAAAAAGCCTTTTATCATTTCCAGCTCTTCTGTTTGTTTTTATTTGGGTGTAAGAGTGTTTCGTTCTCTTTAAATCAGATCACAGGGCCCGACTGTTTCTAGCTCCAGGTCTCCCTAATGCTGCTAATCTCCTATTAACAGCCTACTGACACAGAATAGACCACAGAAAAGACTGATTGCCAGCCCTTTGGCCCTGTGACCGTGTGCTGGTCAGATCTGGATTAATACTTGAGGCGATTTACCTCAGGAGGCCTTGTTACAGGTGCCTGTAACTCAACTCTCTTTGAAGTGCCTGGCAGTAGCAGGAGGTGGGGAACCTGTGAATCCACAGCTGAGGCAGACACAGACAAGGCCCCTCTGAAATGGACTTTTCTATCAAAAATTAGGATGAGAGCAGCAAAAAAATGCTTGGCTTCAAATATAAGGCAAGGAGCCGAGCATCAACATCCCACCTGGGACACAAAATCTACTACAATGCTCCCTCTTACTATCTGCCACTGACAGCAATTTTGTTTGCCTTTAGCATTTCTGGTTACTAGAAATTGTTAGCCAGGAGCACAGGCAAACACACTGGCTTCCTCCAGTGTTTGTCTAGCAGCATAGCCCTGCTGCATAGGGTTAATCTGGGTACAAGGGTGACCATTTCAGCTTTAAAACCAGTTCAAGCTGTTCACATTTAAGGAAAGATGGAAAACCAGCATCATTCTTATTTGGCAATAAGTGTCCACGTGAGAGTTTGGTTCAACAACCCTAACAGCCTCAGGCTCCTCTCCAGGCAAATACCTCCTGTATTTGCAACACTGTGCTGACTCTGCTGCTCCATGACCCTACATAGCAGGAGGAGGGTGCTGGGATGACGGATCAGGCTGACCAGCTGCACTTGACGTCACCCAGCAGAAAAGGGTCCACACGCTGCATCTGGGCCACACTGGGAATATGCCCGAGTGCTGGGGAGAGAAATGGAGGCACTGCCTACAACCACATCAATCTCTGAAGCTTCTTGTGTGCCCAAGTCTGGAGCTACAGCATCTCTTGTGTCTACTAAGATGATTCTATTTCAAAATTATTTCATTCTGCTTGTTAACATATTGCCAGTAAAACAGGTAATTGTTCCCAGCCTGAAGTTAAACAATCCAGTTACTGAGTTACTATTATTTGCAGGTCAGAGGTTTGGCCTTCGAGGCACCACACTGTCCCCTCTAGGAAGAGGGGTGAAGTACAAAAACATTCTACCATGCCTTACAGAGAAATTAATCACAGCTATAACTACGGTTACTATAAGGCTGCTTGTTCCACCTCAGCGTCTTAAACCACCACACTGCAACTCATACAGATCTTCTGTTTAGAGCAACCCCGACCTCTCCCCGAGGCTTCTCTGCCTCTAACATAACTGCACGAGTGTTGCAGCTTGCGTGTCTTTCCACAGGCCCGTATTAACAAGGAACATCTGCAAGGAAACAGGATCTGACTCACTGCAGCAACTGTTCCTGCTGCTCACTTCCCCACCTGAAACAACAGTCCCCTTCTTCAAAAGTCAGCTCCAGCACCGCAGCAGCCAACTCCAACATCACCAGTGCAATGCTCTGCTGCCCTTCTAAGGGACTGAATATGCTTGGCTGCTCTCCATGAAATAAAGTCTTGAAAACTACCTTTGCCTATTGCAAACTTACCTTGTTTTTGTGCTGTCTTACTCCTCTCCTGAGTGTCAGTGGGGAGTATCCAGCCAGTGTGAGTCTCTTTAAAAATTGATTCCTTATCCATATTTGGGAATTTGTGCTGGGCATTAGCTGGTACGAGACATGTTCTTCCCACAATGCACTTTGGGACTTGTAGTTCCCAAAAAGGAATGTTGTTTTCCAAATGGCAACTGCCAAGCAACAGAAAGAGGAGACTAAGATGCCTTTACCCCTGCCTTTCCTCTAGCTGCTGGATCTTTCCTTTTACAACATTTCTGTGCTGTGGTTTTGCTTTACCCAGCCTGAATCCTCCAGGAACTTCTTCCACAGCTGATGGCACAGCGTCTGAGCCCCTTGTTTGCGCTGCCCTGCTGAAGTGGCTGCTGCAGTGTCCTGCCACCGTGAGGAGCAGGTGTGTGGCCCTGCCTCCTGCAAACACATACTGGTAGAGCGAGAGTTATGAAGAAGTTTTTAATCCTGCGCTCCAAGCTTTCTTCCTTTCTTCCAACGCTGAAACGGCATAGAAACTCCTCTTTAGAAGATGCATTTGACCTTTTAGCACATTCTCTATTAGCATATGATTGTTAAATTAAAATATTATAGATGGGGGTCAGCGTAAGAGCATATAAAAACCCTGCTTGTCCTGTGGAGATTTATTTTTGAAGACAGTTTGCACTGATTGCCGTAATTACCCTGTAACCAAGACACCCTATACTGTTTTCAAACAACAACTCAAGAGGCACGCGGGTCGCTGCCTGCAGGGCAGTGCTGGAAATGCTGTTGTTTTCCCCAAACTCCAGCGTCATGTGCTCACACCTCGGGCACGGGGCGACCGAGGAACAGGCCCCGGAGGAGGCCGGGGGAGGAACGCGCTGCTCCTCCCGCCCGGGAGCCTG